GGAGATAGATGCAAAAGGTCATCCGATTTGGATAGTTCTTAAAATGCTCAAGTATTTGGAGGTCTAGAATGAAAAGGATTTTCATGAATGATTCATAGTTAGTTACAGATACCATCAGGAACACTTCTATATTATTAAAGGTGTAAATGTAGGCGGTTAGATCAAATGAAATCTTAAAAAATCAACTTATTTATACGCGTGTTCTGAACAATACAATTCAATTTACAATGCTTTCGCTGAAAGAGTACTGTATATTCCACCCAACAAGATGATATTTAAGACACAGGATTAATTCAAGCATGCATATACGCACTCACTCAATGATCTGGTTTCAATAATAAGGTCTGTTCCGAGAGACTTGTCAAAGAAAATTGAGTTTCTGACAAAAAAAAACGAATAAAAGAATTTTAAAAAACTTAATATTCTTGTTGTTACACTATTAAAGGGATAACTGCGCCATTTTATGGGGTTGATTTTAACCTTGATTAAATGTAAATAGTATTCATAAGTACAAGATTTGCACGAAAATCGCATAATTCCTTTAAAAATACTATTTTACTCACTTTTCTTTTCTATATATCATGAGTCGTCATTTTAACATTCAATTGCGGATAATTCTGGACACACAAGGATTTGAAGGTTCAAATTTCTACGGTGAACACTATAACTGGTTGGCTTAGCTGAAAAAAATAATCCCGTTTCTGAGACTAAAGTATGATTGGTCTATAGACACCGAATCTGGCCCTTTAGGTGCTATTAAGACTGGTGGAAAAATGAGAGAATGGTTTGAAGTTCAAGGGTGGATTACCTTGATTGTTTTTAAACCATCATTAAGTGAGGCGTCACTAATTAAACAGTAAACAAATATAATTAAAGCACAAAACTGCAATTTAAAACACGAAATAACACGCACATCCGGCTGAGCCATTTTTTGTATTTTATTTTACCAATTGTACCTTAGTCTCAGAAATGGGATTTTATTTATAGCTCAGTTAATTAGTCATAGTGTTCACAGCTCACTGTTGAAATTCGGGAATTCAATACCACGAATTATCTGCCATATATAATATATAGAAAAGACATATACAGAAAGACACTATTTACAAAACCCCAACCAAACCCGAAAATGGCGATCCAAATCTGCATCCATAGCCTTTAAGGGAATCAGGCGACAAAAAGGATCAGAGTGCAACTGGTGGCATCTGGCAACATCTGTCAGAATCTGAATTATTACATGACTTTGGCGTACCAGCAATTGGAAATCAAAAACATCCCTCTTTCACATCAGTTGCTCATGTTTTTGCGCTCTTTTTGAATTGATCACAGTTGTTATCTGTTGGCTGGTCTATTGGGGCTCTTATTTCTACGCCCACTGATCATACATTTCTTATTTCTATGTATTAGTATGAACGAATACACAGAATATATTATAGTCCTGATACAATACCCGACAATACCTTTATGTGTAAACCATCCTCTTTGATTCGAGAATGCCACATCATACCAATAGAGATGCTTTCTATTAGCGCTTGGGTTTATTATCAACTTAATGGAATTGAAATTACAATTTGATCATTGGCACTTGATCAGCCATTAAACTTGTAGATTGCATTATAAGATCATATTGCTCGCATGTTGAAAGCTTCCTGTATAACCAACAATGTATTTCAGTCAAGTGCAAGAACCTCCCTCCCACGAAAGTTGTTAATGTCAACCGATCCTATTCATTTTCCCTGCTAGTAGTACATATTATGAACCACAGATATTATAATGCTTGTAGCAAAGGTAAAGGGTGGGTATCGTAATTAGACATATAGATGCTACAAGTGTCACAAAGCTACATACAGACGAAAAATAAAGTATTTTAAAGGGGCAGTTCGCAAAGTTTTTTGAAATAGTTTGGCGTTAAAGAATTGAGAAAATTAAGTTTTTTAGATACGTTAAGGAACACATTTACCTAGATTTTGGTGTATACTAAATACATAAATTTGAGCAAAAAAAACAAAACAAAATCCAACCAATACAGTCTCAGATTCAAGGTATTTTGATCATTCGAAATCTTATATGTCATTAACTCAATTGTTCCAATAACGAATGTACTGGGGGATATAAAAACAAATTTGTAATGAAAGATAATCAATTCACCAATTTCCCCTTTTGTCTGCCATTAGATGAAATATTAACCAGTTTCCTTTTACTTAATATAAAAAACGTCCAATTGTCAAAGGGAAATGAGCAATCATGGATTTTTTAATCTTTTTAATGACATTGTTACATCATTAAAAAATCATTGAAATATTTTAGTCCTATGTGGTATCTTTTTTTTTTTCTTTTTGAAATTCTAGTTTTAAATATTCATTAAATATATCCGATTTCGTGTTGTTAGTGAAATAACTATATTTGCTTGCTATCTATTTCATGTTTAGCATTAATATTTAAGTACTACTTAAGGACTTTGTGTCATGGAAATAGTTTCTGCTTGTTCAAATGAGACGAAAAATTATTGGTATTAAATATAGAATAGTACATTATATACATTTGTACAAAAGTGTATATGTGATAAATTCTATGAATTTTTGTAATCTGTCGTGTGTAAAAGTTTACTCGGCATGCGGGCGTCGATATAATAATACATATAATATTACATTGTACTGTATAAACTTTAGCAAATATTTCCTTAAAGGGGCAGCTTTGCCATCCAATATTGACCAATTGTACTTTAGTGCCAGAAATGGGATTCTCTAAATAAGCTAATCAGTAATAGTGTTCACAACTCACCGTCGAAATTTGAGCCTTCAAATCCACGTGAGTCCAGAATTATCCGCGTTTGAATGTTATAATGACGACTCGTCATTTCTTGAGACTGTGCCATATATAGAACAGACATAGAAATAGAAAGTTAAATTCCTAGTTTGAGGTATATTTGAGGCATGCGATTTTTGTACATGTCTAGTACTAATTCTGAAGATTATTTACATATTCAAGACCCAAATCAACCCCCGAAAATAGCGAATCTTCCTCCTTAAAGCATTGTGTTGGCCTACCATTTATTATTAGAGTCTCTCTTGCATTTGAAGAATCTGAAGGATGTCTTCAACGACTGCTAAGCATATTGGATAATCTGATCAATTACCTGCGCACAGCTGCCATCGATTTGTAATATTTTGTTTTCTGGGTAGCAAGGTATCTTATCGTCAAACTGAGCGTTTCATTGTCAACTGTGAAGCTTAAAATAAATATCAAAGGACCATCTTAACTACATGGCAATAAACTCGACATTTCTTGGAGAGTCTACATATCTAATGACGATAATTTGGTATTTAATTACTCATTTATAATATATCAACTTTCAGATGGCGATTCAATGTCCAAAGACTTTTTTGAGTTCTTCACAATGTCAAGCTATTACAAACTTCGTCTTATACCTTGACTGCAATAGCCAAGTTTCTTGTATTACGGAATGAGCTATTGGATTGGATGGTACAATCCGATCAAATCGCTGCATCAAAAATCTTCCGAGATCAATGAAAGGTGGCTATTGCAGTAAGTAGCAGTTCGAACTATGGAACTTCAGGAACTCCCAATGCAGCTATTGGACTATTGGGCTCGGTTACAATGAGGCCCGTAGCTACAGGGGGACAATTGCCCCTGCGGATTATTTGCCCCATGATCAATACGGCTATACGGGACTGGTAACTATCAATCATTTGGTGAACGAACTGAGTAGAGGGGCGGGCTTAAAGGCAATTGTAATATGAAAGCCACGTCGGAAGGTCTACGAAATCAGACCTACCACCTGTATTTTTGATCTTTTATTATCTCAAATAACAATATTGTGTTCAATTTAATAATTGTTGTGCATTGTTAATGTAACAAAAACAACCAAAATATCCTGTTTTTAAATAAAAATCTAACGATAGTGTTTGCTTCTGCATAAAATAAAAATCGACTATGAAAATTGACATTAAACATAATGGTAATAATAATAAAAGTAATAATAGTAATAATAGTAATAATATTTTTATATCCGATAAAACGTCCCAAATAATTCATTGAAAAGGGGAAAAGTGCGCCAAATATAGATATTAAAATGATACATTCAGTAGTACTTTGTGTAATGTACATATCCACAAAACCCCTTAATTAAAAACATTAAAAGCATGTATACTTTTTCGGAGCTTGGAAGTTTGGCATTTGAGGCACAAAGACCGCGCAAATCACTCGATTACTTGGCACTGCAGTTCAATACGCCTTTCACTACAAAGCCGAATCGAAATTTAAGTTAAAATGTGACAAAGGGATCTTGGTGAATTTGAAATACACACTTTAAAAGAAAAATATTCTAAAGTTTGGTCGTTAATTCTAAAGTTTGGTCGTCAATTCAAAAGTGAAGCATTTGCCTCCATTCCGTTCCGGCTTTGAAATGAATTTAATTGATCGAGCAAAAAGGATTCATTAAAACGGCAAAATAATAAATTGATTCTGAAGAGGCGGTCAATTTTAAAAATTTTCTCCTACTCACTCCATATTTATCATAATTCATTTCTAAAATTGAAAGAAAGGTAATTATGTCTAAAAATATATATATGAATAGAAAAATATGAGAAATAAAATTCTCTTTTGTATTTCGTATTCTAAGGCATCAAGTTGTTTCATCATTTTAGGATAAATTTGTGCAAGAATCATGGACATTGTATGTCCTTTGTAGTTGGAAGTGTCATTATAATCAACATACCACTATACATTAACCGGATACCACTCTCCGGATAATAATAACAAAACCCTTGCAAGGTTAATACTGTTTAAAAAAAAAAGTCGTAGATCTATATCAGTCGCGAAACTTGAAGCTGTAAGAAATTTGGAATTCGGTCATCGTGATTTTGAGAAGCTGTGCAGAAATCAAAATACATCTGTTAGATGAGTAGGTTATATATGTCTTTTTTGCTAATATCTCAAAAATCGCTACAAATATTTAAAATTCATTTTACACATAGGTCTAACTACTTCTGTCGAGGGATCAAACCAAACCGTTGAACTCTTGCTAAAAGAGTTACCCCATCCATTGCTAATAGAAATACAAACGGTAATGAAAAAAGAATGATGCCAATGTAGCCTATTGCTGTTGAACTAGGTCTGTAATCCGGGGCACTGATCTTTTTATTAGAAACAGCAGATATATTTGATTTTTCAACAGTAAGTGCATTGACAATACTAGAAACAGCTCTTTCTGTGGCTGATTCATCTGGGGTTACCACAATCACATCATGGCAAATATTTGTCCTCAGAACTCCTTCAGGATCCAAAAATCCCAAGGCACCAAACGACGATTGCATGACGCTCGATTGTTCTACGCATATAGTAGCATCGACCGACGAGATATTTTTGATCGTACAAGGCACGCTATACGTCAGAGTTGTTGGAATCGGACACACAATTGGTGAAGGTGTCTCCGTTATGGTTACGAGAACCGTTAGAGCAGCCAATGTAACTGTAGTTGGTTGTAAAACAGTAGAAACAACTTGTGACGGTGTTATAGTTATAAATTCCACGACCTGCGTTCCTAGTAGTTCTGTAGTAGTAACAGTAATGTGGTGCGTTGATAAAATGGTAGTGGTGTCAATGTTCGTAATGGTTGATACTATTGTAGTACCATCAAGTATAACAGTGGTCGGCTGTATTACAGTCGTTACAGTGTAACTTGGCGTTATTGTTGTCGCATGTGTTGTAACCAACTGTTGTGTTGTTGTTACGGTCAATTGTTGTGTTGAAAGGAGGGTTGTAGGAACTGTATGTGACACCGTTTCGACGATAGTTGTTTCAAAAGTTTGGGTTACATAATCAGTTACCACATCAGTTTGAATGAATGTAACATTTATTGTTTCAGTTTGTTGTTCCAAAATAGTAGGACATCCTATTGTAGTGTTGCCTGCAATGAAAAAAGATTATAGTTAAAAATAATTAAGTTATAATTAGCTAATTATGAAGGAAATGAAGATGAATTTTCTGACGAATGAGCGATCAAATAGTTCTTTTTTGATTATCCAGTCTGTAGGCTACAGGCATTGACATTTATGATTGGTTAAATTTCGTAATATGCCAACAGCTACTCGAGTGTTTTGGTTTTTAATTTATTATCTACGTTTTCCTTTCAATTGCATGCTCAGCACGTGATTGTCGACAAGGTGGAAAATACCGACCATAAACAATATGGACAAAAATAAACGTAATCGATGTGCAGAACAGATATTTATTAGTTTCTATCTGAAATATAGATAGGTTATATGTATATAGTTCTCAATATAGTTGCGACTTTACCTGACTGACGAGTCATCTGTCACTTCGCAATGAAAGGAGAGAAATATTCAATTTAACGCTGCAATAGTTTTGATGAAGATTATTTTATTGATGAGAAGTTGAGCTTAGAAATATTTGATCCCAGAGAAAGAAATTGTTTTATCAGGCATTTCAAAATTTTGAGAACAAAAAATATCAATTTATCAGATTATGCGATATACTTAAATATTTATACCACAGTTGCAATCAAATTGATTTGAACTATATTTAAAGGGATTTTAAAGAGGTTTTCTAAATATTGTATGTGTATTTGGGGACACTGATAGCATCAATTTGCACCATCCCAATTTTCGTCTTTGACTCCTGCAATTCCAGTAAAACTAATTGTTTGATGACGTTACTAATCGCGAAGATAAAGCATATAATTTTGCGGTTAGTAACGCCGATACTCATAAACAATTTAGAAAATCTCTTTACAATCCCTTTAAATGAATTTCACAATTTAAAAGTTCCTTTATTATAATGAGTTGATATTGACTTATTATGTGATTATGTAATATCTAGGATTTGGTCACCATTCCCGTTTAATGACTTGACTTGCCCTGTCTCCGCTCAAAAAAAGCACAATTACAAAATATAGCAATCATTGATAATACTTGATTCATTACGTCACAAACAATGCAAAGTTACCTCAGGGTAAACGTGAATTAACAATGTTTCTATTATTCAGATCAATCATTACAATTCAGACAATTCAAACTGTTGTTCCACTGCCTACAACCTGTTTACTTAGTGTAGACAAATCATCTGACAGATTCAAACTTAAAGGGGTACGTTAGTGTAATATTTGACAAAACTTACAAAGTTCTTGTATAGCTGATCACCTAACATACACAAAGGAATAATATTTTCAGAATGAAATTCGATGGTGTGTGTGTGTAATGGAACTTAAACAGGATCTAGATACTGTCGAAAGCAGATTTCAATAAAGTCTTAATAATTTTTTTTCTTTTGGAATAGAAACATTAACTTTGTCAAATTTTATCATCCGTATCAAATTGCAGCTTGGTCGACTGGAATAATGATAAATAAAAGATAACTTTTTCAAGGTCACAAGTCTTACACACGATAAGGACCCACGTTCATCTTTTCTCGACCAGTGGAGCCTTGTTCAGCCGGTTACCAATAATGTTGATATCCAACTGCTTTCTAATTGGAATGTCCCTTTAAATAAGTTTTTTTGCACGGATTGATCGAAAAAGCAAGTGCTTTTTAACCCGTATTCACTGAACAACTATTTAGATTAGAATAGATCCTGCTTCCAGCGTCTTATTTTGTTTTACAAAAATAACTTACATTTATAACAATATTTTGATTATTGTCTAAAGCTATATTCCAATATTGTTAATTTTAAAAAGAACCGGTAAAGAAACAAAAACAAGCACTGTTGTAACTTCAACGTGTATCGGTATAATTATATTTGGATTATACAATTATACATTTGCATTAAAATCGATCGAAAATTAGATAATTACAGCAAGTGCAAATTAATTCCTGTTTTATTCATTAATCATGTTTTAAATGGACAGATGCGCCATTTTGGGGGGTTCATTTGGTTCTTGAATATGTAAATAGGATTCAGAAGTAATATATAGAAGTGTACAAAGATCGCATAATTACTTCAAAAATATCTCGAACTCGTAATTTCTTTTCTATTTCTAAAGATAGCAATGTCTCAAGAAAAGACGACTCATCTTTTTATCTTTGAACCAAAGATAATTCTAGACACACATGGATTTGAAGGCTCGAATTTCAACTATGAGCTGTAACCCAGAAACCTATCGATATTATAGCAATTGTTTGTTTTTTTAAAATGGGCTTTGGGGATACTAATAACGTTCATCGATTTGCATCATTCCAATTTTCAATCAGACGTCTATGGTCCTTGCAATTCCACATGCGTTTTTGGCGCCTCAATCCCTTATACATGTATATCAATAACAGCTTTTGCGGTTGCAAGAACCACAGGTGTCCGACTGAAATTGGAATGGTGCAAACTTCAGTTTCCCCAATACGCATAAAAAGCTTATAAAACCTCTTTGACATCCCTTTAATTTGGGATTTCAATGATTTGCCGTTTTCGTTTCAGTAAAATGGAATAAAAGCTAATTTAATTACGCTGCGTTTTTATCAAATGAACGACAATAACTCAGATTCAGTTCAACAAAATAGCGTAAATTTTGAAGTTTTTATTCGGCTTGCCACGTTTCCCCACAAAACTATTGTACTGTATCCTTCTTGAGTCTAATGAAAACATATAGATTTGAGAGGCCTACGTGATCCAAAGCACAAACTTTTTTATATATTAGAATTAATGAATGATGTATTGTTGTAATTTAACGATTTTATTGTGTATCGCATTGATTGTCTTTTATATTAAACATACAACGATACAAAATTTAGAACAGGCTTAGTTTTCGTTTAAGGTGGAGGGTAAGCCGTTTCCCTTTTCATCGGCTGTACCAATGCAATACAATGGGATTATTGCAATTGCAGTATAAAATACGACCAAATATTAGTTATCTATTCGTGAATAGGTAACTTATATCAACAATACTGACAAATTCAAAAATCCTGTTAAAACGTGTTGGTTTTAAAATATCTTGAATCAGAAAGAATAAATGTGTGCTTTTCTATGAAAAACATCAAAGTGCCAAATTTTCACCTTTCATTTTTTTTTCTTGACTAATGATTACTGTTATGAAAACAATGTGTACAAAAAGCATTATTGAAATAAAGATTATTAAATATAATATTATATATAATTTTGAAATTGTTGGACTATCATCCTTTATTGTTTTTATGGAAAGCAATGTGCACAAAAAGCGTTATTGAAATAAAGATTATTAAATATAATATTATATATAATTTTGAAATTGTTGGAATATCACCCTTTACTGTTTTTATGGAAAACAATGTGTACAAAAAGCGTTATTGAAATTATATAATATTATAAATTATATTGAAATTTTAGGATTATCATCCTTTAAGATTTTTTTTTATCAGACGGCTTTTTCATACTTAACATATAATAAATGGGAAAAGAAATTATTCCTATACAATCAAGTACTAGAGATGTTTTTAATGAACTGAATTATACAGGCCAATTGATTAATTCCAACTGCTTCCTCCTTAAGTACGTGTACTCAGGAACCGGTCCATACAAATACATAGTCTGATAACTCTGACCTTACTCAGTTGAGATATGATATATGGATATGATTTCGTCAAGGGTAGAATAAGACAACTTTATGAGAGTTGAATCCAAAATATCTTTGATTTGTTAAGTTATAGACGAAATCTAACCCATATATCAAGTGTAAGGAAATGAGTTGGGTCAGATATTTCGGGCTAACAAATGCATACCTTTCCAATGTAGCAATACAGGTTACCTACAACTGTTCAATAAGAGAAAAATATAAAGCAGAGAGTCAGAACGTCCATATACAGCGTGTTCTTAGATTACTCATTTTGGATTTCAACATCAGCACGAAACTATAGATGACCAGACACGGTAACATAATGTGACTATAGAAAGTTTTGTAATAAATTAGAAATCATACATTTCTTCTAAATTATGTTACAGTCAAAATAATTTGGAAGCATTTTGAAAGTACAAAAACATTTATTTATAAGTCGCTTTCATTAAAGGGACAATCAAGGATTTTTTTTACAGGTCGAAATTTTTTTATTCTAAATTTGTGAAAACACCAAAATCTAACAAAATGTGTCTCTTAACGAATCTGAAAGTTTTAATTTAAAAAAACCTGCCGTTAATATAAGTTTACATAAACCTCTTAAGTTCGTTATGATTTTTGGAAGCTGTAAGAAAACCCTAAAAAATATATTTAGTTAAATATATATACAATATACAAAATTTTACCGAACCCAGCTACACATTATTGTCTTAATTTTGAAGAATGTCAAAATTACTATTTTGTGGGAAAAATAGTTTTAGTACCCTTTATTTACCTTTTATTTGGATACTGAATAATATTGAGTATGAGTTATTGCCCTTGTTCTTCAAAACGTGTTCAATTTTTAGCTCGTGAAAACTCTTGAAGGCAAATATTCAATCTTCAGCGCGGGAATGAATAATAAAACCAAGTTTTGTCAAAATTCGACAAGAACCATGCCTTTTAGTCTTTAAGAGCTAAAATTTGAAAGCGTTTTCAAGAACAAGGTCAATAACTCCTATGAAACATTTTTCGATTTTTCTGATTTTCAATAGGGTTCATCCTTGGGTGATAGCAAACACTCATGCCAAGTTTCGTCAAAATCCGTCAAGAATTGTGCGTCCTGGAGTGTTTACGAACTAAAAATTGAACGAGTTTTCAAGAACAAGGGCAATAACTTATACTATAAATTTTTCGATTCTTTTTATGTTCAATGGGGTTCATCCTTGGATGATTACGAAGACTCACAACAAGTTTTGTCAAAATCCGTCAAGAATTGTGTCTTGTAGAGTATTTACGAGCAATTGTGGACGGACGGACATGCGTGACGACAACATACGCCCCCCATTTCATGTGGGCGGATAAAAATGGTACACAATTTTATGGTATACTACTCCTTAGTTATATAGCACACAACGTTTCAATAATCTACACTGTCATCATCATTTCTAAATTGTAATATTTGCTAAGTCTATCAAGTACATGAGCCAATTCTTTGGAATAAAAAAAACCGCTGTATTTGAACAACGCCTCGGAGTTAATAGACCTACAAATCCCATTCAATTAATCAATAGACCATCATTTCAATGTTTCGAGGTTTGTTCAGGATATAATTTAGAGCTTTTAAAAGGAATAGACGTCTTAAAGAAACATTCTGCTTTTCTGTAAAAAGTTTTCATTATCAAAATCTTCGTAAATTATACCTAAAATATTTCTAAAATATGCTACAGGTATTTATTTCTATGTATCTTCTTGATCAAACTGAATTTGTTTTAAAAGGGTTAATTAAAAACGGAGAGTACTATTTGTTAATTAAGCAGTTTGACTTAGTTTTTGGTGTTTGCTTTATAATGGCTCGGTATTATTAGTTGAAACCCTTAGAATACGTAAGAGACATAATTTCTCTACAATTAGGTTTTTACTTTACTAAAATCCATACAGTAGTTATCTAACAGCTTCCAAAAACTACTTTACGTAATGTTTTTAAATAGTTTTGGTGTTTACAAATTAACGGATAGATTTTTTGTCGTTAAAACTTCTCAGATACGTTCAAGGGCACAATTCGCTAGATTATTTTGGATATATAGTTTCCAGAAATTTGAGAAAAAAAATTTCGACCTACGAAAAAGCGGAAAGTCACTTTAACAATGAGTTTTGAATTGTTGTATTCATCGTGCACTTATTAGTGATTAGTTATTAGTAATTCAAAAACCAGAAAGGATCGAAATTATCATGACGGATATTAGCCCGAAGCTTTTAGAAATCTTAATAGACATGTGGCTTCAATTCCAGGATCTAGAAATGTAGAAACATTCACAGAAACGTTGACATATTGTTATCATTGCATTAAAATCAAAGGGACAGGTTGATACCGATGGTATCTGTTTTATTCTTGTTTAGAATGTATATCTAAGTTTTATGGCTTAGATTTATTGAATTATAACTAGCATGGATTAGATATTTTTATTAACTTCAGATCGAGGTTAAAGGATGTTGATCAGAACATAGGCATTCGTAATGGTCGGACACACTTAACCAAAGGGAGCCCCCATGGGTCTATATTTTGCCATTAGACTATCATTACAGTACCATTGTCTTAGAAACGGGATTCAGTAAAATTGTTCACAGCTCACCGTCGAAATTTGAGTTATTTTTTTTTTGACGGAAATTTTGCGACTATTTATATATATAAGACCCAAATCAATCCCCAAAAACCTGTCCCTTAAAAAGAATTTCCAGTGTATTGGATTCACAACTTATCAACATAAAATGTTTCCTCGAGTGAAATTTAACAAAAAGATATTACTTACTTTGATTGTCTTGGACAGCTGTGCAGTCGGTTGGGTCGCCACGGTCCACTTCAAAAGAGGATTTCGTTTCATTAATTTTAATATCTAGGAAAAAAATACACAGAGTAGCCAAGGTTATAGGTAAGGTTATAGTTTCAAAATGTGTTTTACCAACTGATAGAGCTATTTCCTGAGAAAAGCAAAAACAAATTTGATTATATTTTTTTACTAGAATTGAAATACCAACCTAAATAAAAAAAAGTATTGTTCTTGAAAACGCGTTCAATTTTAATTGAAAATGTGTTGTAGTCACAACAGAGAGCTGGTTTCTTGAAGGATTGTGATAAAATTTGGTGCCAGTGTTAGTTATCCACTACGCGGTTTTATACAGTGTAAATAGTTTTTTTCTGTTTATACATCGAAAAAATATTCAGATCATTCCTTTAAATATTTCAAATCCAATACGATAAAAAAAAACGCATCGGGTCACTAGCCACCAACCCTTAATTTCAATCGATAAGCTTTTCAACTGACACGTGTTTTGTCGGGAATAATATTATGATCAAATTTAAATTCAATAAAAACTATAAATAATGAATGAAACAACACGCATGACTTGAATGACATACAAATGATTTTAATTCTGCTACAAGGAAGTTTTTTGGTTCTGTTTTCATTTATTGCTTATCGATGGACAAAAACAAGAAAGATGAAAACAAATCAACAACTATAATGCAAATTCTTTTTAACATTAAGTGTGAAGACAAAATGAGCAAAATTAAGCGTTTGATATTGCAAGATCTGCCTCTCTTCTTAGTGGTACTAACGGTAGCCTAATGAAACAAGCAATACATTCCATACATTTTCTTTAAGGAACTAAAATTTTGCTTTCACATCTAAAAGTGGCCATCCTTAATGCATCTGATATCGGTATAGTTCAAATTTACGTTAAGTAAAGGTCGCTAATGTTCTAAATTATTCATAAATAATTAATAATATATCAAATTATTCAATTGCAACTGCAAGAAAGATAAACCTGTGCAAATCTGGAAAATGAAATCTTTTTAGCACACCACTTTTACTACGAACAACCCTATATATAACCCTTGAGAAATTTAACATTATTCTCTTTCAACTTTCACGTACACTTTGAATTTGTTTACTTTGCTCGTATGTTAATGTCCAATTATTGCAAAAACAACCGCCTATTCCAAACCATGTATCCTTTTGATTGTTTTATAACTGAAACCTACTTACCATATGAGCAAGTTTTAACGGCCACGGAAACATTAGCAACATCTGGTGTAAGCAGCATTCCACAGGAAGTTGAATCCATGGCCCCAGTTAAGAAACAGCCGTCTGTGTCGTTACACAAAGTAGCACAATTAGTTACGGTTGGCTGGTTAAGTGTTTTAAAATCGAATACGGTTATATTTGAGATACTCATCTGACAACCATTTTCTGAAATATACAGAGGAAGGATAAAGAGAAAAGAATTGAAAATAAATCTTAATAAATAGATTATTAGTGGTGCCGCGAATAGACGAGGTCGGTGCAATGTACGTTGCGGAATCGATACAAACGAAAATAGAAGTGAACACACGAGTTACGGGTCCGGACACGGCGCGTTTCTTGGAATTTTTACTGTATCGACAACCCCGTACCGTACACCACACCGAAAACTGTAACACGTCTATTCGTACCTTAAGGGAGGCCAACTACTGGTGAACGTCAGTTTACGAGGTGACGCGCTCGAAATATGGCATGTTCGAAAAACGTTGAACAATTAAAATATTTCTATATTGTATCCTGATAATAATAAATTGTCCCAAAGTGCAACGTTAACTCAAGTTAAAGGTATACTACTTTTTAAATTTGGCTAAAATGAGTATTTGTTAATCCACCTATAATCCAATAAATCCAGTAGTAGTTTAAAAACACGCTTATAAGCGTTTTTTCCCCAATAATTACTTAGTTTAATGGATACAATAATAAAATATTTTCACTGTTAAAATAGTACTCAATACAACAATTGTAAGAGCGATGTAGAAATGGATAGTTGTCTTGATAGAAATTCTAAGATGACGTGGTACGTCCAACTGATAAATATATACACTTGTTGACCAAGTTTGAGATTGAAATTTTATGTCCATTCCTTTAAGCTCACAAGAGCACAAATCAAAATACATCCCATACCTTTATACGTTTCACAAATGAATGGTTTTTCATCTTTACACGGTTTATTTTCTAACCCACTGTTTTCTCTGTAACACATTTCATCCGATTTATAGTTTCCTTCGTCCGCTGATTTCCAATGATAACTAGCACTCAATACAACTTTTGGACATCCTTTACCATCATTAACCATATCCACATTTGACGACCAATACAGACCAATCCATGGTGTATTGAAACTGAAAATGATATCATACTACGTATCGATTACCATTTTATGTACACATACCCACTAATACCAGACAGAACAACTATCAGCACCTCTATCTGAACTGTACATATTGATAACATTCTCGGTGTCATGTTATTGATAGTGCGTACTTTTCGGAAACATGTTGTCAAAACGTTGCCCAAAAGATTTGGATAAAAAATTGGAAAAATCAATTTGGAAACCGAGATGTAAATAATATGCACCATTTAACCAATCAGCAATGGGCTACGTATAAATCCCATTATCTTTCTGAAGTCATGTGTGGCAACCACCATCAAAGAATGGTTGCCTGTGTATACAGGACCAAATTATTGTAGTCCATCTGTATTGACGAGATGATGCTTACAGAAATTGTTCAAGTGTTGTGAGTGTGTATTTTAAACAAAGTCTACATTTAAACGAACGTTTTCTCTAAAAACCCGTCTTACAACAGACGCAAACAACTCGGACTTCCAAAGATTTAAAGATTTAATAATTGTTTTTGCTAAAACAGAATATTTTCTCTTATAATACCTACTCAGAAGCAAGGGTGGATTTTATTTCCTGTAAAATATTGTATTTCTCATCCGTATCAACATTCATCAAATATCCACCAATTATTCTGCACATTTCCCTGGCATTCTTCCATGGTCTGTGTTGAGTGAATAAAGTATAAACAGTTTGTCCTCTTGTCATTCGTGCTGTAACGAACAATATCAGTAAGACATATTAACTTAAAGGGGCAGTCTTATTTTTATTTATTTTATTTATTTTTTTTGGCTCAAATTGATGAAATATATTATGTGTTTAAAAGTGTCCCATAACTTATTTCAAAGTTTTGAGTGAAGTCGTCACAAGAAAATTAAAAGAAGAAGAAGAATTTGTCACAAAAAAAAACAAGAGAATAATTGAAGTTGTCGCGAGAAAAACAGGAGAAGAAGAAGAAGTTGTTGCACGAAAAACAAAAGAAGAAGAAATTTTTGTCACACGAAATACAAAAGGAAGAATTGAAGTATTAGCGAGAAAACAGAAAAAGAAGAAGAAGTTGTCACAAGAAAAAAGAAGAAGAAGTTGTCACAAGAACAACAAAAAAAGAAGAAGTGGGGTTGTTGCAATGAAAAGAAAAGAAGAAAAGAATTCTAAAAGAAGAAGAAGTTGCCACAATAAAAACAAAACAAGAAGAAGTTGTCACAAAAAAGAAAAACAAGAGAAGAAGTTGTCACAAGCAAAACAGGAGAAGAAGAAGACGTTGTTGCATGAAAAACAAAAGAAGAAGAATTTGTCACAAGTAAAACGAAAGAAGAAGAATTTGTCATAAGAAAAGTGGAGTTGTTGCAAGAAAAACAGGAGAACAAGGAGTGGAGTTTCTGCAAGAAAAACAAAGAAGAAGAGTTGTTGCTAGAAAAGCAAAAGAAGAAGAAGGGTTGTTGCAAGAAAAGCAAAATTGAAAAAAAACAGTACAATAACATAACTGACCTTCCTGTGGAATATCAAGACTAATCGCTTGAACACCACGAATTATGAAATAGAGCAGTAGTAAAAATTCCATTATCTTAGTTCTGGTTAGAATCTATCAATGTTGGTGCATTTCAAAACATTTCTACACGGTTTCAACATCGTCAATTATTTTCTAGGGAAAGGAAATTGAAAAAAAAAACATTGATTTTATTTAATCAATTCTTGAAGGGACATATATTAGCTTTATCACTCTACGTTTTAGTGTACAGTCAGGTAAAACATACCAGTAGAAATTACCTCAAATAGATAACGATCTGATCACTGTTCTGACCACAGTAGTATATCATTATGCCGAGCATAGTTTACAGTGCATGTGATTTGTCCTTGCATCCAAAGCAGATTACTTCAGATTTACGTAACATCCTAAAGCAGTTCTATCCAAATAGAAAATCGGGAAGTATAACTAACTAGAACCGGGAATAAGTCCCTTGTTTTGGCCCTAGACTGCCAAACAGCTGCGTCACAGTATTCGTACATTTATGCATTTAATCGGCATGCAGCTACTTGAATACATAAAACTGACAAAAAATGTAGGGTATAATACACCTTAAACAATTTTCAACTTTCTACAGCAAGAAAATATTGCCCTAATGCAATTTCTTTAGTAATTAAGTAATTTCAGCATTTAAAGGAATTTCTTAACAGAGTTCTGTCCGAGTTCTGGAAAAGTACTATTTCTGTAGTACAGTAATTCAAAAGTTATATATCAATCTGAAGTTGAGTTATAACTCAAAAACATCCGTCGTAGAGTAATTTGAGAGTAATAAATCAAGTAATATCTGTAGTATACTCAGTTATAAAATCAAGAAATATCTGTATAGTATATTCAGAGTTATAAGTCAAGTAATATCTGAAGTATGTTATAAATCAAGTAATATCTGTAGTATATTCAGAGTAATCAAATCAAGTAATATCTGTAGTGTATTCAGAGTTATAAATCAAGTAATTTCTGTAATAGTAATTTCAAGTATTTTATTTATGTAGCAGAGATATTTAAGAATAAATAAAGTAATATCTGTAATTAAAAATCAAGTAATTTCTGTAGTAGATTAATTCCGGAGTTAAAAAGTAAAAAATTTCTGTAATTTTAATAGATAAAACATAATCCCAGTATAAATTAAGTAACTTCTGTAATAGAATAATTTCAGTGTTACCGTGTTACCAACGTAATTTGTGTAGTAAGTTGAGAAGTCAACAATTATAACAAACAAAATAATGAAGTAAATAAAGATTAAAAACTTACACGATTTGGATTATTCATCCAGATAACATAATTATAAAGTTATATCCAACACCCCATAGAACATAATCACATACTTTTTATTCGTATACTTACATTTACCACAGTGTCGCTGAAGTAACCAATTGTATGTGAAGGTAAACAGTCAATTTAAGATAACTTGATCAAGATATCGATCCAATATACATATACAATATATTTCCAAAAATCAATCAAACATCAGTCATAAAACTCGTCAATTTCTGGTACCTTAACAAAGCTCACCACTGACAGAATTATCTTGCTTGTATTTTTATCACTCACTCACTTCATATTCCTCTCTTGTGAATTTTATTTGTATTTTGTCCAATAAATTACCAATTCATAAAACGATGAAAACACACAGTGAAGGCTTATAATGTTCAGACATAATGTATTATTAGATTTTCTCTGTAATCTGTCTCATGTCAGAGAAAAAAAACTGACTGAATAGAAAACATTTTGTGATAAACTACAAAGCACCTCATTGCCTATAAACAATTAAAAATTACCACCAGGTTGAAAACCCCTGGTCTAATTAATGATGCAAAGAATAGATCTCGAAGGTTCCCCATTTTCACAATGTCAAGCTATTACGAACTGCTTCTAATACCTTCTGTGATTCAAGTTGGCTATTGCAGTCAAGGTATAAGACACAATTCGGAATGGCTAGACATTTTGAAGATTAGGGTTCACCGACTAATCTCTGTTGTATTACTATTGATTGACGTTATTATAAAACATAACAGCCAACAGCGTTATGGTGTTAATTTTTGATCAGGTAGAAAATGTCTTGGCGAGGCAAGCTGAAAATGAAGTTCATATCGTTTTATTCAAGCTCTTCTAGACAGACATGACGATGCAAGTCAACATCCGTTAAAGAACGGAGTCTTCCACTTCCGACGCGACGGACTATTGAAATTTGTAAAGATAGTCATTTAAACTATTTAGCCTACGAAGTCAAACCATAATCCTATTGTGAACAAAGACTTTAGGCAATATCTGAACTGTGTTATACATTTAAACTACATTTAATTACATTATCAAAGAATGAAAAAACAAAGCGATGGCGTATTAAGTTCAGACGGAATGTTTAATATTATGAAAGTCTTTGACCTAACAAGGAATATTTACAATCTTTTCTATCGTCTCTTTAACACCTCCGCAAGGATGGATTTAACAACGATGTATTTTGGTCTTTTTACAATTTTGCCCTTCAAAGGAACACAACATTTAATACAAAAGAAACTAAAAACAACAAAACTACAATCACAAAAGCAGTAAAACTATTAACAGTTATATACATTTAATAAAATTTATCATCCATCTGATTATGTTGTTCTATTTTTTCAAGAATTAAAAGAGTTGTTTTTTAAAATTTACCAGAACATTGATTTTCTTTAAGGATCGAGGTAAAGAGTTCCATCAACAAGGGTTTTTATATTTCAAGCTATTCTTATCTATGGATTTAATAGGTTTTGGAGTAAGGAATCTTTGGTTAATCGATGCATATTTTGTGTTTGAAAAATATTGAAGAATATATTAAGGGCTGCTGAAGAATAATCATTACAAGTATCCCAAATGGTGGAGCAGTAATCAAGGTGGGACTGAAAATGAGCGAAACAGAACAATTCAATAAGGTTTGAAGTTCCGCATTTTTGAAATGATTTCTGATTAAAAATTTTACAAATATAAGTAAGATGTTTATTCCAATTAAAATTTCGACCCAAAATAACACTCAATAATTTAAATTCTGTGATATTTTCAATTTGAGAGTTCAAGAGTGATTATTTCCTGGAATATTTAATTGATGAATTGAGCCAATTAACATTGCTGTAGTTTTTGATTGATTTATAACAATAGAATTATCATGACACCATTAAACGATTTTATTAGTATCTGATTGAATAACATAGTTTAAAGAGCAAATATCTAAAGATGATGAATAAATTATAGTATCATCAGCAAACAAATAAGATAGATCCTTGAGGTACACCTGAAGTTATACATTGAAATGACGATTGGATTTTCCCAATGGAGGTACATTGGTTTCTGTTATTGTATGATTCTAAAAAAAGGCAGAAGATTATTCGAAAAATTATAGAGTTTTAATTTCTGTATATGAACCTCGTCATGCCTTAACTGGTTGGAACTAAACTTCTGAATAGAATTAGTGATTCCTTAAACTGACGTCACCAAAAATTCTGTCAAAATTTATAATGTTCGTTTCGTAGTATGAAATCTACGATCCTTAACATAAAAAATACTTATTTTAGCGCCAATTTTTTATTTCCGGTTGAGGCGGTAGGGCGGTTTGGATTTAAACCCCACAATTTCAATTACCCTTTAAGCTTTCTTGATGACACTGTCTGAGTGTATTCCTACGGCCACATTTTGAAGTTTAACCAGATTTATAAGTTTTATATTCTAGGTGTATAATAACATAATATACAATCACCAACATACTCAAAAACAGAGTTAAACATTGTCCTAGTCACGGTAGATAATTAAGAGTAGGTTGTGTAAATTCTGTCATTATTTCGTCTCAAATTCACATTGTATGGTAGCTCTTATCCTAATTTTTTACATCTTATTACCTCCCTTTGACTTTTTTTTATTTAGCAGATGTTATATAGTGATAAATGTAAATAATGTAATAAAGTATTTTGCCAATGTGCAATAACCATGTATGTTGATATGGCCTATTGTATTCTAAAACAAGAATGGTCACTAAAATACACAGGGACCTCTCAAATGAAAGAAACATAAGAAATCAAAATTGATCAAATTTTTTAACAGGAAGACAACAATAAAATCAATGAAGATCAATCAGATTGATTTATCATTATCAATTGCTCAAATAAAATGGCTTCAAGACAAATACCGTGCGAGTAAACAACCAGAACATGAAAAAAAGCTGAACATACGTGAATGGTATTCCAACTTGTTTTATTGGATATAAAAGATCGCTTAAGTTATTGATAAAATTTTATTTCAGACAATCATTTCAATTTTCGGGATATCTGAATCATCTATAAATTTTTTTTTGTATTTTCCCCTGAGGTCAATATACGACGATGTTAACACAAGTCAAGTAAGTTTTATTCTTCAAGGAAGCTTATTGAAAAACTTCATTAAAACAAATTACAGAACAAAATGTCTAAAACAAAATGATCGATACAGTCCACTTAAAAAACCAGTTTGTAGTGATAATTCAGTTCAAGGGACACATTTCTTTCATTTTGCACTCTATTACTGGAATTCAGATTGTAATGGAACTTCCTGCTCATAAGTCAGCAAATGGAGACGGACATTGCCAAGCAGTGTGCTAAAAATACCAGCAAATCCGATTCTTTCTCATTTAACAACTAATAGTGAATTTGCATATCCTGTATCACACGAATAACAAGTAGTTTTTTTCTATGCTAATCCATCGAACATTGCTACTGAGGTCACATTGGATTATGTCATCTTAGAGCTATTGGGTGGTTGGGATTATCTACCTTCCAAGACTTCACTATGCAATCAGATAGCAAACCATAATCTCAGGCAATATAAAAGGGCAGTGTCTATTTACCACGACGTTCAGTTGAAAATCAAATAAGTTATGATATAGATATTTTACTTTGGTAAATCTTGCTTTAAACAACCAGAATATTTATAAATGACTATTTTGCATCCATGAATTCATCATGATTTTTAAAATTTCCTTGTTAAAATAAATTGCAGTGGAACATTCAAGAATTATCTTAAGCAAAGCAGTGTGTATACGTGGGCGATAGGGATACGAATACTTAATGCTGCATATATATAATCGAACCAAAAATAAACCAAACAATGTTTACAAAGGTACGCCGTGTACGTTGAACTTTAGAAACACCGACAAACGCAGAACTCGTATAAAAACGAAAATCAGGGGTAATAAAATTTCTTAGAAATAGTCTAATGTTACACATATCCTGTGTGCATAATATTGCTTTTGACAGAATACAGTGTATTTCTGAAGTTTTGCTAGTACTATGTATTTCTTGAATATCGACAATTGGACACGAAGTATACAATTTCGTAACAAAGTCTAATTTCAAATTTTTTTGCCCATAGGTGCCTCTTATTGTGTGAAAAATCATGAAATATTACTTTGAAAAACAAATATTATTCTGTGCCTCATATAAATTTTTGACAAAACTTTTTTTTTTCAAAATTGTATTGGGATTTTTAAACAGACAAATAATTTCATTCAATAACATATTAATATAAATCCCTAGGTCTGTGTGATAACTGAAATATATGTTATGAAATTATCAATATATTATGAACGAACGTTCTCAGTCACCATTGTTTACAATCACACTCTAAAACTGCCATGCAAGAATACTATCGTTTTGCAGTCAATGTAGATTAAAGATCGGTAATAATTCCTTGATGGATTGCCTGACTATTTCATAATTTCATGTTTAATCAACCTCTTATTAATCAATTAAAGGATAAAGATACAATTATGTAACCTAGCAACTAAGTATATTACGTATTGAATGTAATGCCACTTTTGGATAAAAGTGCTGGCCAAATGTCTTTGAATTATTTCAAGTTATTTTTAAATAACTACTTACTCGTTATAATGAATGAATGGCAGTTGGTATACTTTCAGACAATTGGATCGATTGAATTATCTAAGACTGTTCGTGTGCACGCTGCTTAATTCGACACCGCCAAGAATTTCAAGATTGGTGTGTAAATATTTTAAGAATGAAGTCATAGCAAATCGCAACGAACTTAAAGCATTTTTTTCAAGATTGCCTTGATCGCTAGACAGATAATGTAACATGGAAAAATATTCAGGTCAAATAATGTTTTGATTTGAAGGAAGAATCAAATCTACAAGAAAAATCCATTTAGTGCCTATGAATTAGGTCAACCGAAGAACAATCTTCGGAAACTAACGGACGGCTCCATGGTCAATGAACTATTGATGTCGATCGTTTTTTATTAGAAATATCGACTGTATCAAAACATTTATCAGCGTCTAGCTGACTGCTTCATATATCGCTTCAGCAAACTTAATTACATACTTTAGAAAAGTACTTTTGATTAAATCAAGGTGTGTATTAAAGGAATACGATCTTGTCATCTGTATCACTGTACCACGTACAATGTAAATCGGCAATCGGTTTCCCTGAAATAGGAAAATGAAATGAATTTCTGCCTGAATTAGGAGAAATCAGCTTTTATTATGCTAAAAAAAGATCACATGCATGACTTAGGCGTAAAAGTCATGTGATATACCTCTGTGATATCATGACCGATCTCTTTTATTAAACGATACGTATCAAGTTAAATTTAGACTGTAGGCATATAGTCATTTCCAGATCATTAACAACAATGATATTTCAGATAAAAGATATCGATAATGGAAACAATAATTTCAATGGTGAATTTTACGGTCGTCATCATGAACTAATCGCAGATGTTTTTGCCTAACGATCAATTTTAAAGTTGTCATCATCATAGTAAATCGAGTTGCCACCAGATGATTCTATGATGATAAACAATTATTGTGATCAGTTCCCTCCCTTGATTATTGAAATTGGAGGATTGTATTTTCATCAGTTACGTCCCCTGAACTATTGAAATTGGGGATATATGTGTTTTTATCAGTTACACCCTTTGAACTCGTCGTCAAGTCGCCACTTCTTCAGTTGGTGCGTTCCTATTTTTGTGTGTGTTGTGTGGTGAGCAGCTATGACACCAGCCAGAGTCTGCTTACACTTCTAGACATGTGAAAAGTTCATTTGCTGCTACCATTATTTCGCGAAGATGTTGTTTTTGATTTAAAGTTTTGTTTTTCGGCTCGGATCCTTAGTCCGTGGTTTTTATCCACCGTAAATCAACAATGATCAATCATGGTGACCATCAAGATTAAGATATCCATAATTGTAAATCAGGGATAAGATATCCATAATTGTAAATCAGGGATAAGATATCCATAATTGTAAATCGGGGATAAGATATCCATAATTGTAAATCAGGGATAAGATATCCATAATTGTAAATCAGGGATAAGATATCCATAATTGTAAATCAGGGATAAGATATCCATAATTGTAAATCAGGGATAAGATATCCATAATTGTAAATCAGGGATAAGATATCCATAATTGTAAATCAGGGATAAGATATCCATAATTGTAAATCAGGGATAAGATATCCATAATTGTAAATCAGGGATAAGATATCCATAATTGTAAATCAGGGATAAGATATCCATAATTGTAAATCAGGGATAAGATATCCATAATTGTAAATCAGGGATAAGATATCCATAATTGTAAATCAGGGATAAGATATCCATAATTGTAAATCAGGGATAAGATATCCATAATTGTAAATCAGGGATAAGATATCCATAATCGTAAATCAGGGATAAGATATCCATAATTGTAAATCAAGAATACGATACCCACAATAGTAGATCAACAATAAGTCATAATCGTTACTTATTATTACCAATTGGTGCGGATCCAATTTACTTGGGGAGTAATTCTGTTGGTATACCAATTGATGTGAGAGCAGTTGACTAGGGCACTAAGATAAGCTATTCATTGTGGTAAATTGATTACAGATTATCTTCAATGGTAAATACAGAATAAGATATTCGTGATGATACATCAAAAATGATAAAGATATTCATAATGATAAATCAAGGACAATCTACATAAGACGTGTGTCTATATCAAGTGTAAAATTATTACAAAAACATAATATTGTTATCATGTAAAGAAGTAAAACAAAAGTGTGGACAGCTTTTTATACGTATGTTAAACTTATATTATCATGCTCTTATATACTGCAGTGTTATTTATCGTGAAAAATTGCGACTTTCATGTTTCTCTCTATTGCAAAAGTTCATTTTCAATACATTCTAATCGAATGTTTTGTTGTAATTTGTAGGTGGTCACTTTAATCGTATAATCGTCAATGTATTCTGGAACCTGAACAGTTGTGGTCTATTTGTGGACAATTAATTTTCTAACCATCATCCGACAGTAGTGTCAGCTCTATTTGATTGAGGAGGCCAGAGTCGGTATAAAACCGTTGCTCAGTCTTAAACGATGTCCCAGAGCTCTGTTACTTAGTGAAGCATCAACATTATGTTTGGTAAGTTGAAAGTACATGTATTATGAGTATTAAGATAGGTTTTTTTTTTTGTTTTTTTTTAAAGATTTTCGTTTTGAAAATATAGGAAGCGCCCGTCCTAGTCCTATGTCCCTATTTCAGGTGTACCGCTTTTAATGCATCTACAAAGGTACCGGGTTCATATCTTTTGCAAATGTAAATTGTCTTCGACTTTAAATTTTCAACAGAATTTCTAAAAAAATATCTTACATTTCAGATTCCTTATTCATAATAGGATGAATATTCAAAACTAAGTTTCTGAAGTTCAAGTGGTTTAATAGAAAAGCTTTGAAAGGAAGGATGGCTATAATGATTGGTTTCTGTATGCCAAGAAAGGTGTAGGTATCATATATATCTATTTGAATGGGTTTGCAACCAGATGACTGAAGGATTATGAGAAAGTTTTATCAAACTGGATCAGCGTGATGGCCATAGTTCTGACACAAGTCGGACAATATCTCCATTATGCCACGATTTTAGAACCGTGCCATATATAGGTGATGGTACAAATCAGCTGCTACTGAGATTCCACTCGAGGCGTCGTCTGCTGAAATGGATTAGATAATGTCCATTGTTTTATTCCAGACGACACTGAGCAGGCGATCCGCTTATTTTGTCGAGCAAGGGTCGTGCTGATATCGGCTTTTCAAAGATCGACGAAACGGCCAATTTGATGAACACGCATTGAATGCTGATCTGACTCCCGATTCTGGGTCGCATAATGCTGAACGAAAGCTGGTCCATACTGGTATGTGATGGAAATGTGGAGTGCCCTGTTGGTACATGTTAGTTGTTCTTGGTACCAGGATTGAGTCGTTACTTGGGTGCCAGGTCTATAATTGTTAGACGGCGGTGTTTCTTCGCTATCAATTGGTGTTAGATACGTCATCATCTGATAATCATTCTGGTTCCGATGTAACAACCCCTTACACCTTCCTATTCTCGTTTCTCTGAGTAAGGTTTGTGTTAGGTTTCTTGTAAGGCATAATAAATTTGTTTGCCAGCAAATAATTTAGTTTCTGAGTATGGATTGTATGGAAACTTGGTATGATCATGCGAGGGCTAATGTTAGGGTCTTTAGGGATTAGAGTTTAGGAAAGTGTAAGAGATAGCTACACCAAAGGTGATGCCCTACCTAACACTAATTAATAGTCACGACCACCGCCTTGTCAAACATTTTAAAACCTAACACCCATACATCTACTCAATCTTGACACTGAACACCTAACACGCACATACAGAATACTCCACACTTTCAATATAAATCAGTCCGGATCAGCTTTCGGCATATTAACTTGTCATCTACCTACCTACCCTTTCGGCGAATATTGCCGTCACCCATGTCCGTCCGTCCACAATATTTCATACTGGTGATTGTTACTGTATATTCAGCCAAATACTTTTATTCAAAAATCAAACCTGTCAGTGGGCGTATATTACCTTGCTTGGCAAGCTATCTTCTTTATCAGTGTGTAATAGAAGTTTACCATCTTGATTTATCAAGGGCGTCCGCCAGTCGACTCGTGCTCTTGTTAAGTCAAGGTGACTTGTAATATATTTTCTAGGTTGCCAAGTTTAGAAATGATATGGTGAATTATCACATTAACAAAATGTTATTAAAAAATAAATGGTAAAAGTAAGAGACCAAAATCTCAAGGAAAACCTGATCCAATCACTGGCAAGTGGAAAACCAGGCTAAATGAAGGAACAGTAGTTTCTGTGTAGCTTAACATAAGATATGATATTCCAACTTTAACTGGAGGTGTTTAAACTTCATCGATAAAAACTGAATCACAAGAGAGAATGTGGATAACGGGGTGTTGACAGTTCTGTCGCAGAAGAACCAGACGTATGTGCATTCTGATAAATGCTAGTTGAATTTAGTCATCTGAAATTCCATTAGGGTGTTAGATATACGAGTGTGGGCCGCGTAAGGTTCGAAATTTATATCCTCAGGTTATTTTGAGATGTATCTGAGATAATATTGGCTGACTTTTACTAAGATATGCGATGGTGGTATATGGTGAGATGATATTGACTGACTATAAGATAGGAGATGATGCTATAGTATCTGAGATGATATTGACTGACTTCTATATGAGATGATGCTATAGTATCTGAGATGATATTGACTGACTTCTATATGCGATGATGCTATAGTATCTGAGATGATATTGACTGACTTCTATATGAAATGATGCTATAGTATCTGAGATGATATTGACTGACTTCTATATGAAATGATGCTATAGTATCTGAGATGATATTGACTGACTTCTATATGAAATGATGCTATAGTATCTGAGATGATATTGACTGACTTCTATATGAGATGGTGGTATAGTATCTGAGATGATATTGACTGACTATAACTAAGATATGAGATGGTGGTATATTATCTGAGATGATATTGACTGACTATAACTAAGATATGAGATGGTGGTACATTATCTGAGATGATATTGACTGACTATAACTAAGATATGAGATGGTGTTTTTGGTTTATGTTACGTCTGTATTCTTTATTTTGACCATTTAGATTATCTAAAATATTGTAACCTGTATATATATAATTATAATATTTGACTGACATAACCTACTTCTTATGACAATGAATTTTTATTAGTTTTTGCTTGTATGTCTGATTCCATGGTATTTGTTTGATATTTTGTTGCTTTTGTTTTGTGTTGTTTCTTGCTTTCAACAGGCTAATCAGCCCCCTCCCATTTTTTTTATACCTTTTTCCAATAATTGAATTATTGTGTAACTTCTTATTACAAACTCATAAATCTTCATTCTTCAATCCTCTTTCTAAACACACAGCCTCAAAATGCACATGAAGATTCTGACACTTACTAGTGTAGGCCCTAAATGTATGCTGCTACTTTAGTATTAACCCAGGTTACCCATACGAACAAATGCGAAGACGAACTCAAAGGCATTGAGAAACGTGGTGTGTTTTCTTATGTTATCTGCAGATATTGTTCAAGCAATGACCATTGTTATATACCAACAGCACTGGGTGGGCTTCTTTCTCTACAGTGAAGCGTTGATACTCGCTTGTATCGGTGATTCTGATTGGCGGGAGAGTGGCGCTTGATTGTCTTTTGAATAGCTTTAAACGTCATCGGTACGTGACCTTGGTATAAATCTCAGATTACAATAGAGACCAACTAAAAAAATAATAACGAAACGAATTGTAATATAATTTTAATTATGTATGGCTAGTCTAATAAACAGAGCAATCAATCAAAAACTTGTTATTAAAAAGTAACTTATATTCAACAGATTATAAAATTAATTATATTGATTAAACCATTATCAAAAGGTTTTTCAAGAACTCAGGTACTTTTACATGAGTTATTTTGATGGATGACTTCACTTTATTGTAATTTGTTAAATTCAGCGTTTACGCCCATTGATCTGAAATAAATAAAACTCAATAAAAAAACAATAAGAAAAGTGGCCTGATCAATTCGTTATGATCATTATCAGTTATCCTTCTTGAAAATTACCATTCCATTTTAAGAAATCAAGATCTAAACGAAATCCAAAACCAGAGAAGATTTTTCAACACATCGGTGCTGATTTGGGTTCCTATGGAGATGAAGATCATGCTAAACTACCAATCAAGAGTTTCAAAAATAGTTACACGAATCATCTGCACCAGATACCCAACACTAGAAGCCATGAGTCAAAGAACTTTTCAATCACTACACCAATTTTGAACCTACTGGAGCGAACAATCGAGAAAATCAATGATTTTAATGAAAATCTTATTTATCAATATATTGATTGTATTAATTGATATAAATATGATTATAATCAGTCGTTTCATTTTCGAAAGATATGATATAATGATTATATGCATTAATTCCAAAAATATTTGGGGAATAATTATGTCG